TTACATATGTATCCGATCCACCGTGCTCATTAATGAGGCTCATCATATGTGTACAAATTTTTGCATCCTTCAAAGCTTCTGCATCATATGTGATTTGGTTCATCTGTTGTGTTGTACCGATGGATCTTGCTTTTTCCTTCGTGTGTGCTGAGACCTATTGCTGCAGAGAAAATAATTCAAACCTAATTCTAGACAGACTGAATGAAACCAAAATATCCCCCGTTCGAGTTCAAAATGTTTATGTACAGAATCTGCATTATATTAATATACTCATTACTACTAGGTTACTAGGTAACACACCTTAAACTCAGCTCCAGCAAGAAGTTGACTTTCCTAACTGGTTTTCAAATGGATCTCAGCAAATAAGTTTATCTTATATTAATGATGGTTACATGGCTTACAGAAATTCCTGATCCATCTCACGCTAGAGATTTTATAAGCCATAGCCCATACGATTAGAATCTCTAACCAAACCATAGTTTAGCCAGCATTAAAATGCGTAACATCGATTGGGACGTTGCCACCATTTTTTCAAATCCTACATTTCCTTTCTAAACTTACAGCTTATCAGTGTACGTTCATTTCTAAATACGATTTAAGTCTTAAGAATCTTAGCTTCACTAGAGAAGCCTTTCTTGACATCTTTCACTGAAATATGATGCTCTCCTGCACTGTCTGATCCAGAATAAAATTTTCAGAACTGCCAACTTTATCGTTGTAACAGAGGAACCAAACGTGGAGGTTGCTGTGCATCGAATCGCCTAACAGCCAATAAAGACAATGTCTTCTTTAGTTTACTTGAATCGGTATGGATATCAATCAACACTCCAAATCAAAGTCTACTCTTGTGATGTATCTACAGAACACCTGACAATTCGGCTTATATGAACTGTTTTATTATTACTGCGTTTGTTTATGCATGCTCTCTGAATTTCGAGGCAAATGTCATCACAGGAGATTTCACTTAAATTGGCATAAAATGGGATACAAATAATAAATAGTCAGTTAGGTAATGATGAACTCCTAGCAACAGTTAACATTCCCTACTGGACATAATTGGAAAATATTGGCCTGGTGACTCCCGAAGAAACTCTGCTTTCGTCATGAAGAGTCATAACTCTTTTAAATGAAGATCTTCTAACTCCTAGGATAGAGTTTAAATGGTTTAAATTAGTTTTATGGTTAGCGTTTTATATTAAGCTTGTATTCTATTGGATGGGGTTTTTGACCCTGTGCCCGACCTTAGTCATTTCTCCAGGCTTAGGAGCGGTAATAGCCCTGGAAGGGTTCCAGGTGGAGGAGATTTCTGGCCGGCGGTCAGTGCTGCACGAGAGGTAACAGGCTTAAGTAAGTAAGTAAGTAAGTAAGTAAGTAAGTAAGTAAGTCAGAAACAGTGAATTTGTTCCCCTGCAAGACATGATAATATATTAGATCTAATATTTTGTACAGATATCATTCCACTACCTATAAAAATACACAATGAATTTGAAAGCAGTGACCATTAAATAGTAGCTAGTACTCTCCCTGTCAGTAACCTCGTATAACCAACCCACATAGAAAACTAGTCAACATAGGGATTACAAACATGCTGACTGGGAATTCCTGCATACCCCGGTAAGATCCTCTCACTGGGATACAATCTTCCTAAGTAACAGTCTCGTGGATGTTACTGATATATTCTATCAAATCGTTAGCTCATGTTTCGATTCCTGTGCACCTCTTAAGACATACCAACTGAATATCGTAATCAAATAAAACGTCTACAGAAATGTTACTTTCAGATAATTGATTTCACAGCAGCTGAATAAATAATCATAATTTTTAATCAATTTGAGTGAAAATGTTGGAGTTAATAGCACTTAATTACAACTGAAAAGTACAAAAGCTAATATCCCTTTTCAATATTATCACATTGAAACATCTTGAAATGTAGATATGTCGTAGATATTGCTTAATGATATATTTATAAATGACTCTGAAACCATTATAAAAAAACATCTCAGTAGTATTTTTGCAAACAAAAATGCTTCCTTAACCAGCACTAGTTCATAAGTCGTTTATACGACTTACAGAACTTATATCTTTCATTTATCTAAAATTTATTAAAGAGATTATCGTCCTTAAGGTCTCAAGACAGTTCTGGAGTAGACAAGATTTCATCCAATCCCTTCAAATATGGTGAACCTCATGTACTACTACTGCTTCTGAAGTTGTTGACTCTTTTTCTTAGCAGATTGGTACTTACCCTTACTGTTGGTAAACCTGATTTTTCATATCACGTTACAAATCTCCAGATAAGACTAATTTAAAAATAATCAAACTGTAAGTATTACTTCAGTTATCTCAAGGTTAATCGAAAAAATTATTGGTAACGAGCTTTCCAACTATTTACTTGCTTACTTACTTACTTACTTACTTACTTACTTACTTACTTACTAACGCCTGTTACCCCCAATCGGGCATAGGTCGCACACGAATATTCCTCAGCTTACTCTGTCCTTAGTCTACCTTTACAATTCTGTCCAATTTTTGTTTATTCTTCTCCATTTCTCGGTGTAATGTGTTCCTTGGCCTCCCTCTTTTCGCTTAACCTTGAGGATTCCATGTGAGGGCTTGTCTTGTGATGCAGTTGTGTGCTTTCCTCAATGTGTGTCCTATCAAATTCCAGCGGTTCTTCCTGATTTGTTCCTCCGCTTGAATCAGGTTTGTTCTTTCCAACAGTAGGTTGTTGCGCACGGTGTCTGGCCAAAGGACCTGAAGTATTTTGCGTAAATAACTGTTGATGAACACCTGTATCTTCTGAATGATGGTTTTGGTAGTTCTCCAAGTTCCCGCCCCATACAGTAGAACTGTCTTGACACTTGTATTGAAAATCCTGATTTTGGTGCTGATTGATATTCGTTTGTACTCCCAGATATTTTTCAATTGTAGAAATGCAGCCATTGCTTTGCTGATTTGCGTCCTCACATATGCATCGGATCCACCTTGATTGTCAATGATGCTGCCCAGATATGTAAAGGTGTTAACGTCCTCCAAAGAATTTCCATCAACATATACATACCATAATTTTGGTTGGTTTTATACAAGTAAGCCTCTTCTATATAGAGATGGGATTAATGTAGTATGTTTATTTTCCCTTCAAATAACTGAACAATATGTAAAACTGCATCGGTCTGTAGCCCAATCAGGTGTCATCCAAGTTTCATATAGTCATGGACTTAAGGCTCAGGTATACTTATAATGTCTCCTTTTAAGAACAGGTATCCATACAGACCTCCAAGTTTGAACCCCTTTTAGGTTGCAGAATTAGTAAACCCTATAAAAATGAGTCATATATTTTAATGTACAAAGTGTTTTACCACTCCTTGAATACGTCATGTTTATACTCAGTAGTGTACGCCTAAAAGATAAATTAGAGTTAAATACCGTATAGAGACGAATAAGACTTTGAGTTATTAGGGAACGATTTCAAATTAAGTTAAAAGTGATAAACTAGAACAAAAACCATTCATGAAAGAATAGACTTAAAGTAAATCTAATCTTTCTCTCCAAAATACTGAATCAGCTATCTTTTACATCCAATGACCAGAAACTCATGGTTATAGCTTCCGCGTCTCTTTATCATTCTAAATTTTGTCTTTATGTGGAAATGCAAGACGCTGGAATAATCACCCACAATCTGTTTGTGAAACAAAACCACTCCCATTCTTTATTTGCTGCATCAACGCTTACTTCTCCTGTAGAAATGCCTTGAATAGGCTTACAAATGTAAGTATATATCATTCTACTACTGGAATGCAATAAATAACAGGAATTTCACTTATTCAGTCTTCTTTATTCAACATGCGATACATAAATAGCTAAACGTTTGCCAATCAACCATTCTAGGATGAGTACCTAATACGTTTTACACAGATATAGCTAAACGTTTGTCACTCCGACTTATGTCATTCCATAATGAGAACAATGTACATACACATCGAAATCTAGATATCTATAATTGTGCAAACATCTGGATTGAGTGAGTTATCATGTCTGTTACTCACAAGGATCAAGTCAATATAAGTTGTAACAAGTGGATCAATAACAGTGAGACAAATGCCTCATCGGTGTTTGCACAACATGAATAGATCAATAATCAGTCAGTAGTCCTCTATCAAATCATATCTGATGAAGGTTGTGAATCATTCCGAAAACAGACCATCGAATTTATTTGTGAATGTGTAAAATAGTGGGATTTCGGAACAACAGTTACAACTTGTGATTCATCATTTGTTTGATCATATAGACTATTCATGAATGATGAAACATTCGAAATGATGAATGCATGTTTCCATCAACATGGAGTTGTTGACATACGGATCGTAATTGTGAAAACCATGTTATCTATTATGCTTGTAGTTAACTGTAGTTGAAAACCTCAATTATGTGGTGTCGTGTTAGTTGAATATGATCATTTCACATTGTACATGAAGATGTCAATATGTCGATGAGTGTAATGTAGCACAGTGTAATGTGGTGTGATGTAATTAGGAGTACAAAGTTGAAGAGTCAGGCATAAAGTATGTAAGTCTTTTCTTGATAGTGAGTTAATGAACAGTTTGTCACCAGTCAGTCAGTAGTAATTTCAAACGAATGGATGATTCCAGACTAATCAAGCCATACAACTAACTTTCTATCAACCGATAGAAGTGTTAGTGTTGCCGCATACGACTGAAAAATACTACACTTCTCTGATGTCCTGAATGTAGAAATAGAGATGAATGTATGAGCGATAGTCATCTCTGTTTTGATTGATCATCGTTCCAGAACACTATCCGATGTTGTTAGTAATCTGTTCACTTAACTAATCCTCCCTGTTCCTCTCAACTACTTTGCATTTGTTTATCGTAACGGTTTGTCATCGCATTCCTCGTAATTTCTACCAATGTCAACATTTTCAAAGTGAGGAATGAGGAAGAATGTGATGTTTCTGATTAGAGTAGCAAATGAGAAACAACAAACAAATACAATCAATTTATTGAATTTTACTGAAAAGATCAAATTGTTTATTTGTGTCTCTGATTCATCAACATCATGTATCACAATGTGGATGTTGAATGGTCAACTGATCGGGATAAAAAGTGAAACAACTCACCAATGTACAATGTCAAATATTTAGAAAGTCACAAACAAAATGTAACAGTAATTGTGATGTATCGACAATGATTGGACTGTGTGTGTCTGTGTGTGAGTGCGGAAAGTGATGAGTTATAATTGTGAAGGATTAGGTGATGAATAGGATGCTAACAGTTTACTATCACGCCGTGTATCCTCATAATCCGTATTTACAACGAATTCCGGTTTCCGATCCAAATGTATGCCGATGGTTAATTCGTATAAGACTGCGCCAATCACTGCTCCGATATATGGTCCAGCGATCGGTATCCAGAAGAAATAATCTGCTCCACTGAATGCTTGGTTACCCCAACCTATACATGTGATACGAGATAGTATGTATAAAACATTGAGTATATGTGGATAGATTATGGAACAGAGAAGGGTTGGTGATATGTGGCTTCACTCAATTCATTCAGTGTCTTTAGACTGTGAGTTATTGGAAGCAAAGTAAACAGTGGGGATACCGCTATTGGATATGAATATATATGACGATTTACGTTGATATTTCATATATATATTTTTTCGAAGATGTTCGGAACATGAGGATGAGTTGATGGCCTGCATGATGATAAGTGGTATGCTAATGTTGAATCGTCAGCGAATAATCTACAACTTGTTGTCTAGTCATTAGAAATCACCTAATTTTCTTGTTCGATTTTGTACAGCGTGCAACATCTTAGTAGACTAAACTGATGTGTGTAGGTACATCCTATATTTATGAGTTTTGAACACATTTATGAAATCCAAATACAACCGACAGCAATATCATAAAACGTAAATAAACGAATGAGACTGTAATTGCTAAACAGCTTATCTTCAGGGTTTCACATCTAGATTGTCATCAGTGCATCCAGTTTATCGGATACATGAAGGAAAACTATGCATACTGCAACCTTGTTTTGTTGTTTAGACAATCACGAAACTCAATAGAAATACGTCTTTCGAATGTTTTTAGTATCTGGTATTCAACACGTGGAACTCATACGGTCATTTTTCTAGACAATTTTACCTTATTTGCACTGTGAAGACTCAGTCTTGCCATTTGTGTTTGGGATAAGACAACGAGAGTTGAACTGAACTGCACTGAAGTGAACCCATAAGATGATTTGATTGGTGGATAAATTGACACTATTATTAGTTGGAATATTTGTATCATTTTAGGTTGTGCTGTTATTATTATTTAGAGTGGTATAGGTGTCATTTGTATCAATTGTGATTGATATTCAGTTCACCTTGATTCAAGATACAATCGCGATGTATCCAACTAGTTTTTGCTATAACCAGATGAAATAAGCTAAATCTCATACAAGGTCACTGTAATTTAGACTTAACCTACGTTTCAGCACAACACTAATTCGGAAACAGTGACATTATTTGAAACAGTGACATCACTGGAGTTTGCCATGCATGCCTTCTCCAGTGATTTAGTGTTTCAATTATGAATTAATATGAATAAACAAGACTTCAAGAAGTGCATATTCTTATCACAGAGTGTTTTGTTTTATCCTTGAATTCAATTGAGAAAAGCTTTTTTCACATAGTCTGGATAAGTTGCTTCCACATATCCTCCTTGTTACATTAAGACAGACATTCTATTTGGTCTGTGGTAAATATTGACCAGAGTCGGTCTGAGATTGACGACTAATGTGAAAGCTTACAGTGATAACATTGAATGTTTTAGGTAGTGTTTACCATCGCGATCATACTTCTGATGACGTAGTTGTATGAGATCTCTGAAAGTCTGAGAGATAGAGAAGGTGTCAATGTGTATCTAGGGATCACTGAAGTAAATCCATCTCTTTCATCGATATCGAGTCACCAAGATAATTCATAGTGTAGAATGATTCTATGCTCAATAACTACTTCTTTCGATGCTGTACGACAAGATGTAGCCAACAGACCTTGTCATATTCAATTAGATGAGTAGATGTTCCAGTAGTATAACAGGTGCTATTGTGAGGAGAAGAAGAAACATGTAATATTGGTGAACGAAAGAAATTCGAGCCAAGTGCAATGTGGCTGGATGACATTCACAACATTAAGTGCAACTCATTTGCGCGTGACAATGAATACTAGTGCTCGTTAAGCATGTACCATGTTACAAACGACTCTTATTTCATTCAGTCAGTTAGTCGTTCAGTCGTCCAGTCCATAGATAAGTGAATTGAAGTTGTTAGAGTTTTAGGCATAAATATGATACAAGTGAATGGCCACTAGGTATGCAGCAACTGGTGGATTATTCACTCATTCAGTTAGAAATGTGAGCAAAATGATAGCATCAAGGAGAAATAGAAAACTTACCAAATAGAAATATCATCAGTCTCGGTCCGAGATCACGAGCTGGATTTAAAGCAGCTCCAGCATTCAATGCAAAACAACCAACCAGAGCATACACTAGAAATGCCAGATGTAGAGGGTGCAAGTGGTCTGGAAGTTTCCATCCATTCGGATCAGTGATGGCAAACGCTCCTGCTGTCAACAACGCAGTACCCAGAACTTGATCCAGAAAACATGTCAGATGAGATGCAGATGGATTGGTGACAAATATACCACCTGTCGAATTCAACAACAACTTTCCATTATCGTGTGTTACAGCATATTCCATGATTTTCTCCCGATACACTGCGAACACAACCAATGCACCGAGGAAAGCACCGAGTACTTGAAACAGTGTATAGAACAGTATACGTCGAAATGGTAGTTTCCCCACGATTGCAGATGCCAATGTGACAGCTGGATTACAGTGTCCGGAACCACATTGTCCAGAGAAGATCACAGCCATATATACTGCGAAACCCCATCCCAAACTAATTGAAATGAATGTTCCGTGAGCTTGTTTGCCGTGATCACCCAGAATTACTTGTGCTAACACACCATTACCAAAGATCAATAGGATAATTGAACCCATGAATTCGCCCAAACATGCACGCACCAATGGACTCGAGGTCAATCGTAGACGATCAGCTATAACGTGTTGTTTACTGACATATTTCTCTGCACACGAAACCATATTTGTTCTACGATTGGCCTTTCGATAACCGTGTTTTGACTGAATTGTTACAGCCAGAGTGATATATCAGATGGGAATAATGATTATGTTGTTGTCAGATTATGCACTGACAAGTTGATAGTTGTTGACCGACCGTTGATTGTTAGTTACGACTGCTGTGTCTGATTTGATAGTTGAATGAGGTTGAGAATTAAGCAGGATGTGTGTGGTTGGTTTGAATGAGAAACGATTTGTGGTTAGTGTGTTGCAGTTGTCTAAATTGGTAATGCCTACCATACTGTCTCGTTTATATTGCTTTTCTGTTCTCACATGTACATATACAGTACATCTTCTACACATACTCCATATGCATGCATTCACGCAAAACACACATCCACACACACACACACTTATTTGTAGATTGGTAATAATTAGTCTCCACTTATATCATTGATGCAAAACAATTCACTTGATGTGTCAATCACAAAAGTTGATGAATTGATTTTCCTGTCGATGTATCGCTTACGTGATCATTCGTAGTTATCGAGTAAGTGAATTTGAAAATGTAAAGAATTTGTCAACATGTTTCATGTGATCACAATAATTATAACTACACATACATGAAATCATTTTTGTGATGTTTACTGGAGAAATTGGAAAATTGCAATTTAGTAGAAGCATTCCAATGAAACCATAGTTAATCAATAAACATCGTTGATGTGAATATTTTGCTACATGTGTACGCTTCACAAGTAAGAGCTAGAGTGTTGATGGTTTTGTCTTACTAAGAAATATGGAGTATCATGATTGAATCACTGTTTAGAAATTCTTGTATCTGGTCAATGAATACTTCTGCAGTTCTCCATGTTTCCACCTCACACATTAGAACTGCTTTTACATTTATTTTGAGAAATCTGACCTCTGTGTTAGTTAACAACCCATGTGGTAATCTTAAGGGATATGAACACCGCCGTTTGCTCTTACGTCTTCCATGAGCAGTATGAACTTTTTATTGGTGGAGATGTAATTGATCTAGTTTTCTGTAATTGAATCTGGTGAAAATCATGGGGATTCGCGTTCACGTTATTGGGTGTTGGGGGAGACAATTTTATCTGTAACCACATAGATTTGCCCGTCTTGCAGTATTCTGGTTCGTTTTGCTCTGTTTACTCAATCTATGATGCTCTGATGCCCACTGACTTCCATCAGGATAGTTAGGTCCTTTCTTGGACATTTCTCTGCGATTGACTGCCGTCCCTCATAAAACGTATGTTTGTTGTCTTCACCGCCATGTTTTGTGGGTGCATAACGTTGGTTGGTATTCATTGCAATATAGTCTCTTTATTTTAAGGTCTGTGTCCGTGAGATTCACATTATGTCAGTACTTTTCCAGTTACTTTGGTTAGCATTAGTACGACTCTTTTTGTGTGCTAGCAATTTTCTTCCTCATGAAGAGAGTACATCAGCGCCACTCCCGAGGTTCATTTTTTCTGTTCAACTCGGGTTCAATAGGTTTCACTTGTTTTAAGCCACTCTAGGTTATATATTTACATTTCTTCAGCTACTAGAATGGTCATTCCGATCTCCTATGTTTTGTGGACATTCCATGTCCCAATGTTATTTATTACTCTGAACATCAGAAATGGAATATTTTCTATTATTTTTGTTAGGATATTCATCAAATATCCTAAGAGAATCATTTTTGTAAGTCTAATTCTATTGGTCAATACTATGGTCGTCCTGGCTATCAGTGTCACGTACTTCAATGTTGTTTCCCATTGGTCGTCTTAACTGTCAATGTCATAGACTTCAATGTTGTTTCCTATTCGACCTAACTGTATAAATACGCATTATCCGTCACGTTTTATGATCCGTACCCGGATCCCTAGTCCGAGATCCCGATTCTCTTCTGCACTCGGACCTCGTATTTTCTGGATGTTTGTAGAATACAGGTTCTACTTCATATCAAGTCTTCTTTTACTCAAAGGGGGTGTTTGGGACTCCCGAACTAAAGTAGCCTTTCGTGTCGCTGGATCCTGACTAAGGTAAACTCGTAATAGTTCAAGCATATCAGATGACATGCTGACGTTCATGAGTAACAATTTTCAAACGATATCACGTTTCACCATGAGATTTTTTAACTCTTCGAAAGTAAGACCTTTCAACTCTCATGGCACAGTTGAAATAGGTTAAATTATTTTTCTGGTTAGTTTTTTCTTCAGCAAGGTTCTTTTCAACTGAATATGATCGATAACCCCATATTCAATCATGCTGTTTAATGTGAGCTTCGGATTGACAGCAACAACAGGTGGAGTTATCTATCATTGATTGTTCCCCGAATGATTCGTCTGACATTATTTATATTTATTAATCAGAGATTTTCAAACACATGACACTTATTACTTTCATGTTGAAATTAAAATATCATTTAGAATTAATTTGATACAACATTCTGATTTATTAATAAATTTCAATCATTTCAATTTAAATGTACATATTTCAAAGAGTGTTCGTTCTGTTCTCCAGTGATATGATTAAACAAAGAATTAATTTCAGAATACCTTAGTTGTAACGTTGAAAATTTCATATTCAAATATTGACAAAATGTTATGCTCATCAAATGATATGCTTGAATGCTATTACGAGTTCAATTTAGTCCGTAAACGAGAGTGAAGACAAGATGATCCTGTGACACGATAGACGACTCTAATCCGAGAGTCCCAAGACCCTAATAAGTTAAAGAAGAAGTCTTGACAAGATGTAGAAAGTGTATTCTACAATCACTCAGAATATATGAGATTGACAAGCGCACAAATTGAGTTTATTTATACATCATAGAAACGTCTTCAGGAGAGCCACAGAAAATAGCGTATTAAAAACAATGCATCAACCAATGACAGACAAAGATTTTCCGAGTGGGAAATGTAATCTCTCAATATCAACCGATCAGCCAATGCTCGGAAGCATAAAATCGAAAAGCAGGACCTTAATCAAGTGAGTTCTGAGGATCGAATGTCCCCTACAGAAAAGAAGATAATATTGGTTTACGAATCCATTGGATAATCATATATGAAAGGATGCATAGGTATTTGCAGAAAGTATACACAAGGTACTCCTCATTTGTTGGTCGGGCAATACCATCAACAACAACATGTTCTCGCAGAGAACAAATCGGCTGACAGCTGTGGAATAAATTAACGAAAAACACTGCAAGTCAATAGGATACACATTGGAGCCAGATATTAAAAGAAAGAATCGGAATTAGAAAAAAACTGGCAGGGCAAGCACAGGATAGAGTTGGTTGAATGATCTGAATGTCTGAGACCTGTGGATATGAAGTATAAAAGGCTTAAATAAATAAATAATCTTTAAGGAGTCCTCTAAAGTTTCAGTAACGCCATTATACGTTTACGTAATCAGCATAGAATAGAAGCTTCATACTTATTTACTTACTTACTTACTTACGCCTGTTACCCACAATCGAGCATAGGCCGCACACCAGTTTTCGCCAACCAACTCTGTCCTGGGCTTCCCTCTCCAGTTCTGTCCAATGTTTGTTCATTCCTCTCATATCTTTCTCTATTTCTCGGCGTAATATGTTACTTGGCCTTCGTCTTTTCCTTTTGCCTTGAGGGTTCCAGGTGAGGGCATGTCTCGTGAAGCAGTTAGGTGCTTTTCGTAGTGTGTGTCCTATTCACTTCCACTACTTCTTCCTCATTTCCTCCTCCACTGGAATCTGATTCGTTCTTTCCCACAGTAGGTTGTTGCTGATGGTGTCTGGCCAACGAATCCGAAGTATTTTGCGTAGACAACTGTTCATAAAAACTTGTATCTTCTGGATGATGGCTTTCGTAGTTCTCCATGTTTCCGCTCCATACAGTAGAACTGTCTTCACATTTGTATTGAAAATCCTGATTTTGGTTTTGGTTGACAGTTGTTTGGAGTTCCAGATATTTTTCAAATGTAGAAATGCAGCCCTTTTTTTGCCAATCCGCACCCTCACATCTGCATCGGATCCACCTTGAATTTCGATGATGCTGCCCAGATATGTAAAGGTGTTAGTGTCCTCCAAGGCATCTCCATGAAGAGTGATTTGGTTGGTGCATGTTGTGTTGCATCGGAGAATTTCGCTTTTTCCTTTATGTATGTTGAGACCTACTGCTGCAGAGGCTGCTGCTACACTGGTCGTCTTCTCTTGTATTTGTTGTTGCATGTGTGATAGAAGAGGAGGAATGCCGTGCTTTTCTCCATATTTCGACGTCTTCATAATCCAGTCGATCACCAGGAGGAACAGAAAAGGTGAGAATTGGCAACCTTTCCTGACACCGGTATTCACCTTGAAAGAGTCTGTCAGCTATCCTCCGTGCATGATTTTGCCGTTTAATCCATCATAAAAATTCCGCATGACGTTAACTATCTTCTCAGGCACACCATAGTATCGAAGAAGCCTCCACAGTGTTTTCCTATCCACACTATCGAATCCTTTCTCGTAGTCGATGAAGTTGATGTAGAGTGGTGAGTTCCATTCAATTGATTGTTCCACAATGATCCGTAATGTAGCAATTTGGTCAGTACACGATCGATCCTTACGAAATCTGAAATGAAAGCTTCGTACTATCATCTATAAAATATAGAATCCAGTGTAACGATTATGAATGTATATTGAATCATACCGCTACTATAGTTTATGTAGTTCCAAAAACTTTCAGAATTTCAAAGTTATATATATATCTATAAATACCTTCAATTTTCTGTACATGAACTAACTTTGGAGTCAAGCATTATCATTGTACTTCACGCTTTTTCGCGTATGTTCAAGTTACACTGTAGATTTAGTCTGAGCTTATTAGAAGCGACTAGGCGATCTGTGATGGACCAATCAATACATTATTTCAAAATATTAACAAGGTTATCGAAAATTAACAAAATAAATACAAATAGTATCAAAAACTGTTTACAAAATAAGTTTGTCATGCCATCTCCACATAGCCCCCCCCCCCAGAGTGTCCGGAGGTAACACT